GAATATGCTTGTGAGATTGGTACCTGACTCGGTTGATGGTCGTCAGGTGACAGACGAAAAGTTGTACAAACCAAGAATAAATGTTGTTGTTGTTGTTGTTGTTGTTGTTGTTTAGACCGTTAATTTCACATGAAAGTGAGTGACGAAGAGATGTGCAGGTCGACGTGTCCGAAAGGCGAAGGCGGATTGGCGTTGTTCTGCGGCCAGTTGGTCAGTTTTCAATTCGACATTCAATTTGCTGCAGTCGCCGAGTTGGTTTCCAAAAGATGCAGAGGTGGCAGAGCTGCGCTGGCAGACGACTGTTGACAAGCTGCCTTCGGCCAAGTCGCCGTGACAACAAGACCAAGTTGCCAAAACGAGGTCAACCCAATGGTGTAGGTGGAAAGGAGACGGCGACCACGTCGAGGGAGACAACAGCTTGGTCTTCATCTCTTCGAATGGCGACGTTGGGTTAATGCTCTTTTTGGTAACATTGTCGCGGCGACGAGGAGACGTTGTGGAGCAGCTCCACGCCCGAATGCTCTGCCTGAGTTGTCATGACGCTTTGCAGCTTCGGACCGGCGACTCGGTGCCTTGGCAGACTTTGCTGCGTATTAACTCTGCGCTGATGCTGGTGCCTGAAGAAGACTGCGATACCGTCTTTATCTTCGTCTTCGTCTTTTTCTTCTTCTTCCTGTTCGTATTCGTCTTCTTATTCATCTTTGTCTTCTTCTTCGTCGTCTTCTTCTTCTCTTCTTCATCTTCGTCTTCTTCTTCATCTTCATATTCGTCTTCGTCTTCATCTCCGTCTTCTTCTTCTTCTTCTTCTTCTTCTCCGTCTTCGTCTTCGTCTTCATATTCGTCTTCTTCTTCTTTTTCGTCATTGTCTTCGTCTTCATCTTCCTCTTCGTCTTTATCTGCGTCTTCTTCTTCGTCTTCTTTTTCTTCATTTTCGTCTTCGTCTTCATCTCAGTTTTCTTCTTCTTCTTCTTCATCTTCCTCTTCGTCTTTATCTCCGTCTTCTTCTTCTTCTTCATCTT